GCCTGTTTCATTGGCAATTGTATCTGTGCTGTCCGTTTCTGATATATTTAAGTCTTTTTTGTGTACTGCTTCAGGCTCTTCTCTGACTGTGGGTTGTGTGTTTCCTGCGCTGCTCTCTGCGGTTTTGCCGATGGTGGCTGGGCTTCTAGTTACAGGTGTTGCTAGTATATTTTTTTCTTCTTGGTGGTAAGTAAGTATCTGCTGTCTTAGCTCCTTAAGCACCTCCTGCGCAGCTGGACTTGGGCCGGGTGGGCGGATTTGCTTATTTTCTGTTACTGATGGCCTCTTCTGGTGGCGAGTATGGCTTGCTTTTTTTAATTTCCATTTTGGATGGTGCAGCTCCGCGTTTGATGTTTTTGCTCATTTTGTTGGAGAGCTGTGGTAAAATAGAATAGGATAGGTATTTGTGTTAGCATTTTATATGTTTTGGCATAATGGTTTGCAGTGTTTTCTCTGAATATTTATTGAATGAGTATATTTGAATATTTGTGGTTACAGTGTTTTGGTGAGAAAGGCGTCAATATTTGGTAGGCGCGTTTTTGTTTTATTGGTATTGGGAGAGAGTGGTGTTGTCCATGCGCACACAAGGGTCTTTGGGGATTCTTTAAGTTTCATATTATTTTGAGTAGCAGTCGCTGTATTGTAGTACTTGCTTATTAATTAATTTCTTCTTTCTTTTTCAGCCTTATGCTCATGGAGTTATGGAATAAATGATTATCAAAACTGAACTCAAACAGCCAAGACGTGGCAGACCTTTTTATTGAAACGCATCAACTTTACAGATGACAATTTAATATGTTTCTCTATTTATTCAATAAATGTGTTTTTCAGAAGGAAAAATAACACTTTAAGCCATCTGTCTTGGAATGTCGACTGCTAAGGTCCAGCAGATGAATCAATTTGGAGATGGTCTGGCATTACATCAAAATTGGATAACCTCACCCGGAAATGAAAGTCCGATTTTTCGTTGCAGCTGGTTTATTTAGTTGAAATGCGTATTACATTTGCATTTTGATTAATTATGACCCAGTAATATTAGTAAGCAGCAGCACCGTCGGGCCTCCTCCATCGAAGCACTCCAGCACTCCACCAAGCCGAGCTGGTTAGTATTGCCAGTGAAATGTTTCAAATTGCACGGGACATGCAAAAGTGCGAGTACAAGTACAATTACAAGTAAAACTAAAAGTAAAAGTACAATTAGGAATATATATATAAGTATACGTTGTATCACTAACCAAATAGCATATAGACTGGATAACCAGTACTAATGACGGGGACAAGCGTTTTCAGATTGGCTGGTCCAAAGTCGCCTTCGTTTTTGTTCGGGTTCGAGATATGCCCGCAAGAAGAGTACGCGTCAAACGCGTGACAATAATAATATTTTCTCTTGAGCCCATGATCTGCCCATTCACACACATTTGTGTCCGTGTGTGTGTGTGTGTGTGTGTAGAGCTCGAAATTCAGAAATCCCAAAATATTGTCGAGTTTGCATCGGACAGGCAGGCAACCAACAGGCACACAAGCGCATAAATGCTTTTATTCATATACAAAATATGCAAGCGAGTCCAAAAACGCTTAGGTACCCTTTCCAACAATAACGAGCCAAAATGAAATAATTTCGCATCGAAGTGGCAAACCCTTTCTTTATTTTATATTACTAGTCCCCTCAAAAAAGAAGAAATGCCACCGACTTTTGAGAAAAATTGAAGTTGTGGGCATTTTTGCTTGTGCGGACACATATACACACAAACATTTAAACGGTACATAGACAAATTGAAAGAGCACTGAGAGTAAGCCAACGCAGTTTCCTGTAGTGGGAGCGAGATAAAAAACAGCGATGCCGTGGTTGTATACATTATGCCTTTAAATATAGTTTTCAAGCTTTACACACAACTGCACAAATTGTGCTGTAAACAATACATCATCGCCGTCGACAATCTCTCGAAATTCCTCACCATTTTCGAGTTCAACTTATTTTCCCAAAAAACGTTGGTGCAGTTTAGCAACTGTAGCAAACTTATTTTTAAAATTCATATTTCTGCAGCTTTTTCACAACGCTTTGTATGGCTGGCATTTTTTAAGTTGTTAGATGTTGCCAATGTGAACAACAGTTTCACATTTCCAATATATGTACTCAGCGTGATTTGACTATAAGCACTAAGCATACAATGCGTAGACATTTCAGCAGCAGATTAATCGAATCACGATAAATCGCAACGAGCGAGCCCCATGGGTGCCTGCGACTATTGAAGTGTGCCCAGATAGAGTAAGACTGCTGAGAGTGACAGCCGAACGCCGGCTTCGAAAGCCGAACGTTCAGTATGAAGCCGCATCTCGCTCAGCGCACAACGTCGCTGCGGCTGATGCTTTTTCTTAATACATATGTGTATGTTAGTTTTAAATCCTTACAGCCCAAATACATATGTGTGTATGCAAGTGCAGAGAGTGCCTTGCTTTCACTCTAGCTTCTCAAAAAACCCCGAGATCTACAAACATACATATGTTTGTGTTGTGTGGATGTGCGCACAAGTAGAAAACAGCGTTTGTCGCGAGCCAGAGATTTTTTCTTCAATTGTACATTTAAATGCTCTATCATGTACATATTTCTTGGTCCAGTCAGCAATAATTTTGATTTAATAAAAACTTAAATGATCCAAATGAAATATTTATAGCCACGAAACAGGAGACGCCCCAGAGCCCCCCGACTACCTACGTGACGATGCAGCCTTCTTTAAAATAGCCGCCTTTGACATTTGTCCACAATAAAGCCTGAGGACTCAACCAGGCTTGGCGAAATATCACCTAAGCCAACTGTGTTGTAATAAAAATGTATGTAATTTTTTATTCAATACAATAAACTTTAAAACAAAAAAAAAATGTATATATTTTATATTCTAATTTTTTTGTTTACTGTGGGGACCGATTCTGCTTAAAATAAAAAAAACTAAGTCGTATTTCTGCAAGGGTAATTCATCGTCGGCTTGTCGAAGAATTCTAAGAAAATACTTAAAATTGATAATGTTTAATTTTTGCCAATTGCTACTTGTGCACACGCACATTCTTTCGAGGGAGCAGTTGCATAATATTATTAAAGGGTTTGGCTTGTTCGTGTACAAATTTGCTATTGGCTTGTTGTATGGGTAAGGGTACCTAAACGTTGGCATGTGTGCATGTAAACTTCTGGGCTGGCCAAGCACGCACACTTACACACTTTTCTTTATAGATGGAAGCATTTATGCGTTTTTGTGCCTGTTGGTTGCCTGCCTGTCCGATGCAAATTTTACAAGATGCGATGTTTTTGGGATTTTTAAATTTTGAGCTCTACACACAATGTATGCGAATGAGCCGATCAAGGTTTTGTCGTGAGACTAAGATATTTTTATCAATGAGTGCGTAAATTTGGGGGTCTTAGTTTATTTTTGTGCATGTCTGCGGTGGGCTTGCGGCCGCAAAAGGCACAAATGTGTGAACAGTAAACGAAAACAGGTGGGCCGCACTTGTCGCTCGTTTGCATTTGGGATGTAAGGATTTAAAAATAACATACACATATGTATTAAGAAAAAGCATCAGCCGCAGCGACGTTGTGCGCTGAGCGAGATGCGGCTTCATACTGAACGTTCGGCTTTCGAGGCCGGCGTTCGGCTGCCACTCTCAGCAGTCTTACTCTATCTGGACACAGTCGTTGACGATTTATCGGGATCCGATTATTCCGCTGTTTGACATGTCTATGCATTGTATAGTTAGTGCTATTACTTTACTTTACTGTTTTTACATATTGTCAACATCAGACCATCCAATTGCTGCTAAAAGTTTAATTCTTGTATAAAAAATAGATTATGGCATATTTGCTTGAAAGTTAAATTTCACAAATTTAAATAAGCAATACCTCTTTCGGGGTATATTAAATATATCTCTATGAATCAGGTGCTCGTCTGACCACCAAATTTTCTAGTGTGCAACCAAATACAACAACTTTTCTATTTAAAATATTAAGAAGTTATAAAATAAAAAATGTTTGGTTATTTGAAGGCTCCAATGTTACAAATAATAGTAGTTTTTGCTTTTCGGATTAATTTTTGGTCTGAGGGTGGAAAACACTGATGGCTTTCTTTTTATGTTTCCATGTCCTACTCAGCTTTCATTACTTTTCAACGTTATGCGTTGTAGAGAATACCACTAATTTAGGCTTGCGAAAAAAAAAAATCGATTACAAATCGCAATCGAAGCGTATTGGTATTGTAAAGCAATTGTTACAAAGTTGTACAAAGTAAAGTTTATTTTAATTGCAATGGTACGCAACTACATTCTCTGATTCAGACCAAACAAAAATACTAAAATAGAATAAAAGAAATTGTTCGTTATTTATTATAGAGCTTTGATTTAACCTCATGGGAATATGTACATATGTACTTATTGTAATAAAGGCTAACATAATATAACGTTAGTGTACATACAAGTCTCAATTTTGTATTAACACAAATATATAGTTGAATGTGCACGTACATAGATTTGTATAAATGGATGTTAACTTATGTTTAAGTAAACAGCTTTGTAACAGTTTTTATTCAAGACGCTCTTATATTCTTCACTCAGAAGTAGAAAATATCGACTGCTCGGAAAGAGATGCAACGCACCCGCTATTGCGAGCGGATCAGCATCCAATAAAATATATGCTGTGTCTTAGCTGTAATAGGCATATTCAAAACAACTCCTTCAGCGACGTATGTGCACATTACTTACTATATCCACATCTACAGAGTTTTGCTAAGTGCTTATATTGCAGTGAAAACGTTTATTACTATTTATATCCTGGAAAATTGTGCTCGGAAATTTTTCACTATTGCTCACCAAGGAAACAAGCAAAGGAGATAAATTCATTATTTAAAAATCGTAAGCATGGCAGACATTGGCGTTGATTTTACTGAAGATACTTCCAACTTGGAGTTTGACACGCTATCAGAAGAATCGGATGCGTCTGAATATTCCGATCATGATGAAGATGACGTCACCATTGAGGATGAAGCAGCTATTTCAAAAAATCAATCGCAGACCCTTACCGAAGCCTACAATATAAATGTTAATGGTAATAGACTTGACCCATCAAGTAACAATGTTGCTATGAGTGTAAAATGTGTACCGAATGAATTAAATTTTGTCAAACTAGAAACTGGATGTGATAAACATGTAGATAACGAATTACCGGTTAAGTTTCCGCTGAAGACACAAACAAAGACGGTAACAGGGCATCCCAATTATGGGTTTGGTAAGCGCTGGTCAAAATCAGAAGACGTTTTGCTAAAGTCTTTAATTGAAAAACACGGTGAACGCTGGGATATTATTGGATCACATTTTAAAGATAGACTCGAACAACAAGTGCAACAGCGTTGGGCAAAAGTACTGAACCCCGAGCTTATCAAGGGCCCATGGACACGCGAAGAAGATGAAAAAGTAATTGAGCTAGTGCGACGTTTTGGACCAAAAAAATGGACGCTGATTGCTCGATATCTGAATGGAAGGATTGGAAAACAATGCCGGGAGCGTTGGCATAACCATCTTAATCCCAATATTAAGAAAACAGCTTGGACTGAGGAAGAAGACACAATAATTTACAACGCTCACTTCAAGCTTGGAAATCAGTGGGCTAAGATTGCAAAATTGCTGCCAGGACGCACGGACAACGCAATCAAGAATCACTGGAATTCAACAATGCGTCGTAAATACGATGCTGAACGTAGATCTGTTAGTACGGTAGCTGGTAGCGATCTAAAGAACTCCCGTACTCGTCTCATCGAATTAATCAAAACCGGTGGTATCAGTAAGTGTCCGCAAGCGCTATATTGCAAATTAGCGCCTTTAAACAAAAGTTTGTCTGATTCAAATAAATCACAAATGACTTCAACATTAGAATCATGTTGTGAAGAATCGTTTGTTAACGTTCTGAAAACAAACGATTTAATTGACAGTTTTTGCACTGAACCCAACACAACTGTTCGGTCTGATGTACAAAGTGGGAGTGGACCTGTCAAGGTCATATCAATGGCGACACTACCCCCCTTGCAATATTCTGAAGTAAAACTTAGGCATACACCTAATATACTAAAACGGTCTCGTAAACACATTCCTGATGTATCGATGAGTATGTATAGTAATTCGGATATATTGAAAACTGACATAAAATCTAAGATGCCAGAAACACCAGTAATAACCCCTATTAAATCCCTACCCTTTTCGCCAAGCCAATTTTTAAAATCACCTTGTCTTACAACATTTGAAGATATGAACTTGCGTGCAAGCACGCCAGTTACCAAAATTTATAACCGCGTGGGAATGGAAATTAAAAAAGAGTTAGATACTTCATCAATTGAAACACCACATAAAAGTAAGTTTGTTATTATTAGCATACCTTACATAACTTTTTTTTACTGTGTAAAATATATTTTTTTGTAGGTATGGTTGGGCCGCGCACTCCAACTCCATTTAAAAATGCCCTTGCGGCTATTGGTAACGGTCGCTCATACGTAGCTTCTAGCCCTTCGAGTCTGGTCGAAGATCTGGCTGAAATCATCAATAAGGAACAGATGAATGAATCTGAGTTTAACTGCAGCAAAAGTGAAAATGACCGCGATATTCCATCTGACACAGAGTATACAAATACTTTCGCTAATAAAGTGATGCATTCGTCCGTTCCAAAGCGAGCCAGAAAATCATTGTTGCCTAGTTGGAACCTAAACTTTTCACAATACGGAAAAAAAATACAACCGTTTGAAACAGAGACACCTAGTAAATTTCTTACGTCAGGACAATCAGTTACACATCTATCCCCAAGCAACATTATTGAGGATACGTTATGCAGTGAACAGGATCTGTTATTTGACGAGGCTAAAAAAGAAAACAGGCCTTACGGTCAAAGGTTCCGTTGCCTTTCCAGCGATCATCTGTTGGACCCAAAGTGGGCTCGTGTTGCTTGCGGCAAAACCAAAGATCAAATTTTTATGGAGAAACAGGCATATGATTGTCTTAAGAATCTCGCCTTAATGCCGCGGTCATTAAATTTTGAGAAGCAAAAATAAGTTTCAATTAGCACTTAAAGTACGAAAAAAAAAAATGATTTCAAATATTCTATATTTAAAAGGAATCCTTAAATTTTAGAGCATGTACAAAACAGTAATCTATTAAAGAATATTCCTTATTTCATATTTTGTGTTTAATTATTAAAGAAAAGATCACCTTGCCCACAAAGGTAAATTAGGAAGATATACTTAAAAGCTTATAATGGTGAAAAACAGGAAAAATTATGAAAATATCTTACGAAATAGAATAGTTTTCCAGGCAAGAACCTATTTTTTGACCGATCGTTCCTGTGGCAGCTTTATTTTTTGCGTATATGAAGGGACCATTGAAAACTTATAAATGTCGAGTTTGGTCAGTATTTTAAAGAAAACCCACTTAAACCGAATTTTCTTATTGTAGCTATATGATATAGTAGTCCGATCTAGCCAGTTTCGACTTATGCCGGCAACAGAAAGTTGTATCTGCAAAATTGGTAGAATATAAACTTATAAACATTAGCTTAGTGTGAATAAAAACAGACAAACGGACATGGCTATGTCAAGTTGGCTGTTAATACTGATCAAGACTATATACACTATATCGGTTCGCAGAGTTCCTCGAAAATTCAAATTAAAAGGCTTTACTCATACTTTGAAAAAGCCTAATATATGGGTAATTCCGAACATACACCCATTTTTTTTAAGGACAGAATAATAGGTGTTCCTAACTAACTTACTAATTAACATTAAATTTTTACCAGTTTAGTATTAAATAAGTTATAACATATTTAATACCATATGCATCTTTTTATTACTCTTGATGAATTTTACGATTCCTCCAGGCATAGAAGATGTTAACATCCGACAAGTATCTGTAGGAATATTATACAATATATTGCGAAAACTTTCCTATAACTGCGTTTTTTTGGGAACACTCTGCAACTTCATGTTAAATTTCACCTTAGAGGTTCTTTTTGGTATTCTGCAGTATAATTGACGTCGGGAGTGGTAAAAAAATAAACGTCAAGTCCAAAATCGATGAAACACGTATTAATTATTTTATTTTAGAGGTTTGACAATACGTTTGTGGCCGATCGAACGAAACTTACATGTACGCACTTACAACCTTTTACTACAATTTCCAACTCAGGAGGGGTGGAATTTCCGAAAAGTATGAAATACGTCTCAAACTAATTTTTTTAAACATCTTTGAGCCTACACTCGGAACTTCGCCCATCAACCATTGACCCGAATATAAATTAACCAATTCGGTTGTTGTTAGTTATAAAAAAACATTTATTTATTTATGAGCAGCACAATGTGCTTACAATAAGTTAATTATGCCGAATTTGCGATCCCACGGTTGGCTGCCCAAGGAGCGCGTTGACCTCGTACGCTCCTAAAGTTGCACACGCGACACCTTGCTTCAGCTTTTCCCAGCACGTTGACTGGCCACTTGCGGGAAACAAATGTTGGAAAGCTGATTTCCCAAATGTTGTTATTTTGGATAACTTATCTCCTCCCTCTCTGATCTCGAACGTCCTGATCGATTGTTAGAAACCAGGTAGATCGTGGATGCTTCTATGCTTTTTTATGTGGTTTTCCGGGGGAGCTTTTGTTTTGTCAACCTTGTCTGGGCGCTGTTCGTTGCTGGTGGGTGTGGCTGTTACATCAATAATAGTGGTTTGCCTGCACAGCTTGAGTTTTATTGCATAGGACACGAAGACCAATAATATTCCGGAAGTTACTCCCAAATTTGAGATTGTGTCTGCTTTGGAATTGGCTCGTAGCACGCCTATCTTCTCAGTGTTCTTGGTATGGAAATATCTCATTAGCTGCAGTGAAAACACCTCTTCTATCGCCGTTATTTGTCTCTCCAGTTGGATTATGGCTGGTAGTGATTTAAAGTTGGAGGCTTCATATGAAGAAAAAATTCACATCCTATGCCTAATGTATAATTGTTAAATTTAATTACAAATGACGCTTTAATTGTTTTTAGTTCGTTATCGAATGAAATGTTACCCTTAAAATCGTTAAGAAGAATAATGCCTGTGTCTATTGATTTTATTGTTTTTATATGGTCATTGGTTGGTAATGGTACAATTATTGTGCCTACTTGTTAATAATTTAGAAATGCAGTTATCGTTTGAAATATCTATAATATTTGATTTTAAACACATACTGATTTTATTAATATTTTTAATAGTAATATTTTAATAATAATGATTGTTAATAGCAAAAACTAAAATTTTACATTTTATTACATTTTCATATTGTTACTAATTACATTTCCTATTTTCTTTAAGGGTCTTAAAAGTAAATATTTACAAATTTCATGTCTGATTTAGGGATTTTTTCGCCATTAAATTTTTCTGGACAATTTTTTCGGATTGGTTAATGACGGTTGAGTGCTTGTTTTCTTTTACTATTGCTTCTTTAATATGATTAGACATTTTAGTCCCTACTCTGTTATTTTGTTTTACGAAAATGTTACCGCCAGGTGCATACTGAATCCCTTCTTTTTTATTTTTGTTGTGAATATCTAAACCCTGCTGTGGATTTTTTATGAGTTGTTCATAATCTTTGTAGTTTTTTCAAAATTCTCTATTCCTTTTTTCTTGTTTTATTATCTCCATTAGAGTTAAGTGGAACCTTTCGACCTGGCCATTTACTGAACTCTTGTGCGGTGGTGTGTTAAAAACTTCAATTCTTAATTCATTTTTTAGCATGAACTCTATTGACTGAATTAAGGGACTTTTCGTTATCGATGATAACCGATTTCGGTAGTCCAATATAAAAAAAAGTTCTCTTTATGGTTTTTTGATGGCCTCAATGCTCCTGTTATCTAGTTGTTTTACTAATGCTAATTTTTTTAATTTATCCATTAAAGTTAGTACCAGTTCTCTGTTTGTTAAAAAAATGTCTATGTGAAGTATTTGTCCTGGATACTTGGGTAAAGGTGTTTCTCCAAGTTTAACAAAGTTTAAGAATTTTGGTTCCGTTGTTTTTATGTAATTTATAACTGACGGGTTTAAATATCGCTTAAGTAATTGTTTTAAATCAATCGATACGTGGTACGTGGGAAATACTATTTTGAATTGGTATGACGAACTTTCGTTAATTTCAAGGAATATTTGATTTTTAAAAGCATTAATAGGAATTTCTACTGGTTGTATTAAGTTTTCTGACGAGCTTTCGCTACTGTGCATAGTAGGGGTTAATGAATTTTAACTGGCCTGAGGGGTCTAGATAAAAGATCTGCAACTACGTTGGTGTTGCCTGGTTTATAAAAAAGTTCGTAATTATATACTTCTAACTGAGCCTTCCATCTTTTCATTTTGGCGTTTGTGTTTTTGTTGCTAAGCGCAAAAGTTAGCGGCTGGTGATCTGTAAAAATTTTGTGTTTGCTTACACCATAGAGAAAACAGCGTAGCTCTCGAAGTCCCCAAATAATTGCTTACATTTCTATTTCATTTGTAGCGTAATTTTCTTCTGATGAACTAAGTGTTCGTGATAGGAAGGTCATTGGCCTGCCTCCTTGTGAAAGGACAGCGCCTAAAGCATAGTTTGATGCGTCAGTGGTTAGTTCAAATGGTTCAGTGAATTTTGGAAAATGTTATATAACGTTTTCGGAAAAGAGGCAATTTTTTACTTTATTGAAGGCTTCTATTTGTTTTGCGTCATAGTTAAGTCTTAGTTCCTTTTGAAATTGTTTTAGAGACTCTACCCGCCTCTCCTCTAAGTAGCGTAGTTAATGGCTTTGTTATTTCTGCGTAACCTTTGATGAATCTGCAATAATATCCGGACATGCCTAAAAAAGAACGAAGGTCATGGATTGTTTTTGGTTTAGGAAAGTTGACTATTGCTTTTACTTTTTTTGGGTTGGATTTTAATCCGTCTTTGCTGATTGCGAATCCTAAAAATTCCAAATTATCTTTCAAAAATTCGCATTTTTCTATTTGGGCTGAAAAGATTTAATACTAACATACATATATTACGAAACAGCATCAGCCGCAGCAACGTTGTGCGCTGAGCGGGATGCGGCTTCATACTGAACGTTCGGCTGTCGAGGCCGGCGTTCGGCTGCCACTCTCAGCAGTCTTACTTTGTCTGGGCACACTAAAATGGTCGCGGACACCCATGGGGCTCAGTCGTTGACGATTTATCGGTATCCGATTATTCCGCTCTTTGACAAGTCTATGCATTGTATGGTTAGTGATAATACGATGTCGTCTATTAGCCTTTCTCCACTGGGCTTAAAAATGTCACATTTTCAAGTTTTACATATTGGTGTTCCACCGGTTTTCGGTAACATGTGAGTGGGAAAAGTACCGCTTATTTTAATAAACAGCTGATCGAGTTGCCTTAATTTACATAAGCGCCGCACAGATTTCCTCCTAAAAGTCAAATAATACGGCCCCGAAGGAGGGGCTCCATTTAATGGACTCTGCGGGATTTGGCCAACTTTAAATGTTACAAACTGTGGGAATATTAAAAATTAAAATTTAAAGTTGCCACTTGCCTTTGTTGATGTATCAGCTGTTTATGGTTATGATACTTTCACATTTTTCACAACATCGATAGAAATCTCGATTAATCATCGCAAAATACAGAACTGTTCGGGGCGAATTTACACATTTTTGAAAAATGTGACATTTTTGAAAAATGTGTGAAATGTGTTTTCTTATGGGGAAACGTACAGGCCGCATTTTACACATTTTGCAAAAATGTGACATTTTCAGAAATGTGTTCAGTGGGCAGAGGCTATATGTCAACAAAACGTCGTTTTCCTATGTGTTCTCTTAATATGTCAACAAGAGATCTCACCGAGATTTGATAGGATACTATTTATTTCTAGCATTGGATACCTGTCAGGGATGGTTCGTTTGACTTTCTGTAGTCAATTACCATGCGGTATTTATTCATCCCTGACGGGTTTTTTTTACCTTGAACAATTTGAAAATGGGTAAAAAGGCTATAAGGGTTTTGTGCAAATGTATGTAACAGGCAAAAGGAAGCGTCTCCGAACCCATAAAGTATATATATTCTTGATCAGCATCAATAGCCGAGTCGATCTAGCCATGTCTGTCTGTCCGTCTGTCCGTATGTATGAACGCGTCGATCTCAGAGCCTATAAGAACTTTG